ATCTATCTATCTATCTATCTATCTATCTATCTATCTATCTATCTATCTATCTATCTATCTATCTAATCTTAGTTGTAACAAATCTCTCATGAATGGCTTACCGCCTCCGAAGTAGGCATCCTTATGCACCTTTTCAACTCCAGAGTAGCCCAAACTCTTACACACAACCAATCCATTTCGTATCTCCCAACGGTCGTCACAGACAGTGCCCCAGTGGCCATTGTGGAAAATCTCTACTCGGCCCTCATTGGGCTGGCTGCCACCCACAAGTCGGACAGTTTTGATTGGAGCAGTAGCTGTGAGAAAGAAAATCCCCATGAGACATCTGCAACTTACTTGGTACCAAGAGCAACAATTTTAGCCAAATTCATTAATTTCCTATTTGGATATGCATGTGAAATTTGCAAATGTCCTCATTCTGGTCAAATTTTGAACTGCAAACTGTGATTGATTAGAGAATGTTCAATTGCATAATTAATTTCTTTCTGCTTAACAGTTTAAAACAGTTTAAAGAATCATAAACAAAATAAGTCTTCAGCACAGGATGAGAATGAAATTGAATTAAAAAAAAACTTGAGAGCTTTCCACAAAGAGGTGGATTGATTGGATTAAGTTTCAAAGAAGATTCTCTCTCTCTGTCTGTCTCTCTCTCTCTCTCTCTCTCTGTCTGTCTCTATCTCTCTCTGTCTCTCTGTGTCTCTGTCTCTGTGTCTCTGTCTCTCTCTCTCTCTCTGTCATTAAAGCTATGGCAGGTGAAAGATAAAATGACTGAGAAAACACAGGTTTGAGCTTCTGAACTTCTCAATTTCCTACATAATGAATATTAATTGCATAACAAACCAAGACCATGTCTCCTTAGCTTGAGCACTGGACCCTGAATATAGGGGGAGACAGATCTTTATGAATTAAAAATAATTTAATCAAATAACACCACCTAAATAAAAGAAAACAATTAACCTGGATAACCAGGTGATCTGATTTCTAATTGAGAGAAATATTGGAAACTTTCCAAATTGGGAGAGGGAGAGCAAACAGGTGCAATTCCCTGAAATCAGAAAAAGAGGTGTCTCATTTTCCCCCTCCCCCAGGTATGTATGTATTCAATCAAAGGAACACGAAAACAATAATTGATCAGATCAGGGCCAGGTTTCAGATAAGGTGTGGTGCTTGAGGTGCATAATTGTGAGAAAATTCCTTGCTTCAGTCTTTGGACCTGACTAAGTTTCTAATCAGCATAAAATTGGTTCTTGGTTAAGGGTCTCTAAGCAACAGGGAGAGGTGGACCAGCTTCCCAGCCATGCAGGGCTAGGTTCAAACAATGCAATAGGGTTTTCTCCCAGTTCTCACAAGTGAATACAATTCTGTCACAGGACAGAAATAGAACTAGACTCATAATTGAATAGAATCTAAGTTAGCTCCATATTGAGTCACAAGATGGAGTCAGTGTGGTTCAGTTAATTCTCATTGCCACTTTCTGTTTTAATTCCCTCAAAGCCTTGCTGTTCCCCATGTGTGCTGCTGACTAACTGGTCCCCATACGTCCATCTCCCACCCTTTGTGATGAATTGTCCTCACTACCACACCATTGAATGAACTTTGTCCCAAGATGTTCTCTGATCAATGTTCTCCCCTGCTCCAAACCCTTCATTTCTATGTTGGTGTTCAGTTGTTCAGCCCTGTCTGACTCTTTGTGACTCTATGGACCATACCAGGGTTTTCTTGGCAAAGATACTGGAGTGGCTTGTCATTTCCTTCTCCAGTGGATTAAGGCAAACAGATGTTAAGTGATTTGCCCAGCATCACACAGCTAGTGAGTGTCTAAGGTTGAATTTGAACTCAAGTCTTCCTGAGCTCTCTCCACTGAGCTACCTAGTTATAGTTATATGTAAACTCTTGATCCTTTCATTCCCTCATTCAACAAACATTATTAAGCACCTACTCTGCACCAGGCAGTGTGCTAAGTGCTAGGGATATAAAAAAGAGGAAAAAGGTAACCCTTGCTCTTGAGGAGCTCACAGTGTAATGAGCTTGACATTCAAAGCCCTCCCATCACAATGGGGCCCCCAGATGCCTTTGTGTGGATGTCTAGGGGCAGCTTATGGGCACAATGGATACCATGCTGGACCTGGAGTCAGGGAGACCTGAGTTCAAATTCAACCTCAGAATTGAACTAGCTGTGTGGCCCTAGGCAAGTCACAACCTCTGTCTGCCTCAGTTTCCTCATCTGTAAAGTGGAGATAATAAGGCACCAACCTCCCAGGGCTGTTGTGAAGACAAAATGAGATAATGCATACAAAGCACTTTACAAACCTTTAAGCCCTCTATAAATGCTAGCATAGTAGGTACAAGGTTGCTCCCCACACACTGAAGGCCAGGATCCCAGCTGGGAGCCTGAGTACCCAGTCAGAAGTACAGGACTGCTTGAGGATGGGCTAATGCTTCTTGAATAATTGAATTAAATTGGGTCATTCCAGAGTAGCAGAGGGCTTCACTGGGTAGAACACTAGGATGACTTTCTCTGGAGTGTCTTTCTTGGAGAAGGGTCCACTTGCCATGAACAATAACCAAGTTCCTTTGAATACCTTAAGAAGGCGTTTCCTAACACAAAGGGCTATAATTATCAATCCCAACTGACTACAGTCCTGAAGTCATCTGGGGAAAGGATCACAGCTCTTCACACAAGATTTTGTGAGTGTCCCATGAATAGCAATGACCCCAGTTCTTCAAGGAGCTGAGGTCTCCTCAGCGCTGGCACTGTCTCCACTGGCTTAGATGGTGATCCTTATCAGAAGGTTCCTTCCCATGGCCTCTAGCTAGTAGGCCCTTTGGGATCCTCAGGGCACAGTCATGCTGTCGTATGGGCAGAGCATGAGCTGGAGGACTCCACTGTGGCAGGATCAGTTGGAATGGAATGTTTTCTCCACTGGCACAGTTTTCTGGAGCCCTCCATCAGTTTTGTTCTGGGTGGTGAGGACATGTGTTTTACAAAAAGGTTAACCCAAAGCATGAGAGTCACCCCACTGGTCTCTGGGGTGTGTGACTAATTATTATTGTCAGAGAGCCTGGGAGGCACCAGAACCCTGCACCTACGTCCACTGAAGGCTGATGATGAATAGAATCAGATGGAGAACCACAGATCTAGGACTGGAAGGCTCTTGGAGGTCTCTGAGTGTACCATGTTTGTTGGACAGATGAGGAAACAGGCTCAGAGAGAGTTTTTTCCAAGGTCATAGTTAACATCTGTGATGGGATTTGAATACAAGCCTTCCTGACTCCCAAACCTGCCCTTTATTTCACTACAGCAAAGCTGAAGGGGTCCTGAGAGATCAGCTGAGCCAACCCCATTCGATTGGTAGAGGAGGAAAGGGAAGCTTAGAGCAGGGCCTGTCTTCACCAAGGTCACTTGACTGGAAATGGACAAGAATGTGAATCTAAGTCAAAATGAAGATTAAACATTTCTGGAATTATCATGTCCATCAATCAGGAAAGGAATCAGTTCAACTTCCAGGGCTCAGTCACCATCTCACACAAGGGAGGTCTGCCTGTCATAAGAACCATGGCTTCTGCTGGGCAGAGGGTAAAGGGCAGCAGTGGAATTCTCAAAGTGAACTTTCAAAGCTCAATTAATGGAGAGTCCTGAAAATTAAGCTGTCCTTCATACCTGGGCTGGGCTAGCTTTTGGCACAGACTTGGCCAGTCAAAAATCTCCTTAGCAATGGAAGTTCACCCAGCTAGCACTCCCTGATATTAGAGGTCCTTCATGCCTGGGAAGCAGGAAGACTCCTCTGCAGACTTCTGGATCTGTCATCCAAGGAGGCCCAGCTTGGGGTGGGGCAGGTGGGGGGCCACTCTTAGCTTCCTCAAAAGGGGCTCCCCATGGCCCGGCTTTGGAACCTGGCTACAGATACCTCCCAGTGCTTGGAACTAAGGCCAGGCCAGATGACACTGAGGTAGCAGGCTATAAGGAATTGGTCTCCTCACCTCCATATTCACTGACAGGGGAAATCTGCTGGGATAGCCAGGGAGTCAGTCTCAGGGTCAGAAAATGGGGGGGGGCAGGGGAGAGAACAGTCATGGCTGATTCCTTCTTCCAGCAGGGGAAGTGTTGAGGGCAAAGGAAAAGGCTCTTTATTCCTTCTTTCCCTCCCCAGACTGGCCTCTCCTACAGATGGAGCTGAGGAGTGGTACGTACTGAGGGACCCTGAGGAAGTTCCCTGGCCCTGGATAGCTTCCCCAGATGACCTGAAATGGAATCAGTGGTGGTTAATTTGGTTTAACAAAAGCCTCTCATCCTTCCTCTTACCCACACTCCTCCCTAAGCTGATTGCACAATGAACTTCGTTTGGGAAGACCTTACTTACAGAGTTGCAAAAACTCCTCCCCACTCCATGCCAGAATGCTCTCCTTCCCAGTTCAACTGCTGTGGAAAGCCTTTCCTGATTTCCTCAGGTGCCAGCCCCTTCCCCCCAATACTGGATAAAGATCATATATGTATTGTCTAATAATTCTCCCAGTAAGCTCCTGGAGGGTGGGAAACTTTTGTTTGTGTCCTCAGCACCAAGTGCAATTGATGCCTGGCACACAGGAGGCAGGTGACAAACGTTTATTGAATGGTTACAATCCTGTGACCCAAAAGACAGGTTTATTAACCATTCACACCTTAGACTGAGTGAGTTCAATCTCTAACCTTTCCTGATGGATATGGTTAGCTGCTCAGAGGGAATCACATATTTTTTTTCAGTTTTGGTATTTGGAGAGAGAGAAAGGTGGTGCAGTTTTGGAGCCTGGAGCACTAGAGGGAAGGATACAGGGACAAGTTTTGGATGGCCAGAGGACCGGAAGAGGTTGGGGTGGGGGAGGGGAGAAAGGGAACCAGGAGGAAGAAGAGTCTAAAAGGGAGATGAGAGGGCATTGGGAACCATCTTCCCCTACTGGAAACCTTCCCTCCTCCAGAGGGGGAGAAGCCCAGGCCCCCCAGCCAAGATGCCATTTAACTCTGATCAGTTTACCCACCTCCTTTCTCCTCCCCACCGCATCATCCTTCCTGTTCTGTCTAGAGGTGTGAGCCTGAGAGAGAAAGGCAGCATGGAAGAGAGGGAAAATTAAGATACGGAAGGCTCAAATCCCTCTTCTGCGACTTTATGACCAATGTGACCTTGGACAAGTCGCTGGGCCTCATTTTTCTCCAGGGTATGAGGGAGTTGGACTGATGAGCTCCAAAATCCAGACCAGCACCAGGTGCAAGATGAAGAAACATCCCTAGCCTGAGAACAGAATTGGCAAGCTCCCAGCAAAG